AATTATTGTTCTTTCTTTTTTATATAAATAGTTTTTTCTGTAATAAAGACAACCAAGGTTTTACAAAATAATTATTGTTTGAAATTTATGTGCCTATAAAGTCCATGCAGCTTCAGCTTTCTTCTTTAGTTGTCATATAGAATGTGGCACGGCATGTAAACACCATATCCATAGTACCACCCTATGGATACACAATTGACTAGAATAATGTTTGTTTTGGATTATTATGTGATTTTTTGCTTTGCCACAAACCCATTTGACATTTTGCAAGCTTTACTTAGAGTGTAAACAAAACAATAGCTCTGATTATCTGATTAGTGGCTAACAAGCCACTGATCACAGCTATTCACCTAACATGACCTTCCCCTGGCCGATACTGCATCCTGCATCTCTGCAATTGCCAGCTTCTCACCACTGCCTCTACCACCAGTAATTGCAGTGTTAAATACTGCCCCCCCCCCCCCCACTGGGACCCCCCTTCAGCAGTCCCAGATTCCTGGAGGCGGTCATGCACATCGGCTAGCCAGATTTCCCTCCACCCCTCCCAACAGATGCAGCTGCTGGGTATGATGGGAACCATTGTTGGGCTTTGAAACCATGAACAGGTTTGAGTAGAATTCCTTGAACCTGCCCTTTGCTGATACTGGTACAATGACTCCCTGGGACAAGGGTGAAAATCTGACTGCCCTTGGACAGTCTTTGATTGACATAAGAAAGTGGCAAGGACTCTATTTTGTATCTTTTGGAAACTACTGGGTGAGGTGTTAGGCATCTGTGGTCCAGATGAATGCAAACCGCAAAAGCCTCCCCTAACTCATAGGAATGAGGGTGCCCCTTCAATAAGAAGAGGGTTTTGGGATGGGCTTGATGACCTTTGTGGACGAAGCCTTGTGCCGAAGGGCTGAACTTAAGCTTTAAATTTGAACCCTGGAAAGACTGATCGGTAGCAATCACTCTGTTCACTCATCACTGACACATAGAAAACGGAGTTTACTATGTGACAGTTTGTGAATAAATAGGAGTTTCTATACAGACTCCTATCTCATTCATTACAGTGCAGCTCAGATTGCAGAGAAAGGGATGGTTTTCAGTCCATTTTTCTGCCTCAAAAAAATTAGTCAGTTTAGACCCCTGGGGGTTTATTTACTAAAGCTGGAGAGTGCAAAATCAGACTCACTTCTGCATAGAAACCAATCAGCTTCCAGGTTTCATTGCCAAAGCTTCATTGAACAAGCTGAGGTTAGAAGCTGATTGGTTTCTATGCAGAAGGGAGTCTTATTTTGGACTCTCCAGCTTTAGTAAATAAACCCCCTGATGTCTCTCCAACCCCTCCCCCCCAAAAACCACGTAAAGATATTTTAAAAAAAAATAAAAACTGTTAAGAGTAGTTTAAAAAAATCTAAATCTCCCTTACTACTGAAGCCTAATCCACAATCAGATCATGCTCCAGAGGCTCCTGACAAGTGAGGAGAAAGTGATTCAATGCCTCCTCACCACCTGTTTTAACCCCATTTTTTTTTACAGACAAATGCACTGGCACCGTGTGAATTGCACGCAGTTGAGGGCCCTTTGCGGTGCTTCCCTATTGACTTCAATGTGTACCGTTTGGAAGGTGACATCACTGCAAGTTAGGTCAACTTTGCAGCGGGCGCAATTTAAAATGTACAAATATTTATTTATTAACTCAATACAGGTTAGGCTTTTATATTTAGTTGACATTTATCAGGAATTATGTAAAAATTTGCCATGTTTGTATCTGCTAATAATGATTTTTAAGGAAAATATTGGTTGATAAACAAATATCATGAGGCCTTAAAACTCAGTAGCAGCTTCTTTTTGTTATACTGGTCATGTGCTTTCTGAAAATGTAAGGTTTGGGGGGGTCTTTTACAAACTTTGAAAGCTATAAAAGCAAAAATAAAAAAAAAGCAATGGAAAAATTGCAAAAATGGTCTGGCCACCTAAGTTTAAACATGGAGAGCAGGAACTGGCAGAGAAAGGGTTAAAGGAGCTAGGAGCCCCTGAAAAGAAGGGTTTTGTTACCTTTCTCTGAGGAGTGTACATTCTCTCAGGAGCTACACAGTCACATTCTGTCTGTTCGTGAACATGGAATGTTTTGAAGGCTTAGTAGGTCTCTCTGTGCCCAAAGGGGAGTGGCAAGATGGAGGAGAGTCCATCTGTTTAATGCCAAGGCTTTTGCAAGAATATTGTGGGAAGATCTTTCTTCAACATAGCAATACTGTGGGAGAGAAGAATCTGCAGGCTTTTCCAACACTGCCTCTACACCCTGTTCATTACTTTCCGATTCAGCATCCTTTAAGACCGGGATATCAGGGTCTGGCTCCAGTTGATAAACAGGAGTAGGAGAAGAGGCAAGACATTTTTGAGCTCTGGGCAAACATGGCTGAATTAAGACCATAATCTTGATTAGATGTATGCAAAGTTTGCTTTGGTCAATTAGGCCATTTGTTGCATGCCTGAAATATAGGTAGAATTGGATTCTGAAGACGGTTGTAAGACGTGTTAGAGCCTGCTGCTTCTCCCTCTATCAGGACCTGAGTGGCTTTAGGTGTTCCCCAGCCTGTCAGACTTGAGTAGCACACAGCCGAGTAAAGTGTTCTAGCAGTGCTACAAGACTGATAGGTGGAGCCTGTACTGTGTTGGGAAAAGTGCCCAGAAAACCTAGCAGATCGGTGCCTACTGCACTGCTTTGAAGCTTCTGTAAACCGGTGAGAGAAAACTGTGGAGAGAGAGGGTTGTTTGTACAGAGAGCGAGCTGTAGTGAGGGTGGAGGTCTAGTGCAGAGGTACCGGGGGGGGGGGGGGTTGTGAAGAGGAGGGGGGGCACTGAAGGGAAAGTGGGTGAATTTGTGAAAAGGAGGGGAGCACTGAAGGGAGGGGCAGGAATTTGTGAAAAGGAGAGAGAACACTGAAGGGGAGGGGGAGTGAAGAAGGGAGGGGAATTTGCAAAGAGGTGAGAGCACTGAAGGGGGGGGAATTTGTGAAGAGGTGAGAGCACTGAAGGGGGGGGGAATTTGTGAAGAGGTGAGAGCACTGAAGGGGGGGAATTTGTGAAGAGGTGAGAGCACTGAAGGGGGGGAATTTGTGAAGAGGTGAGAGCACTGAAGGGGAGGGGGATCTGTGAAGAGGTGAGAGCACTGAAGGGGAGGGGGGGAATTTGTGAAGAGGTGATAGCACTGAAGGGGAGGGGGGGTGAATTTGTGAAAAGAGGTGAGAGTTGTGTAGGGAGGGGGGCAGGATGTGTAAGCTGTGGATGGGGGGTAAGAGTTGAGTTGTTCACAGGGGGTACAAAGGTGAGTTGTGGATGGGGGGTGCTAAGGTGAACTGTGGACAGGGGTGCAGAATTTAGCTCTGTTTTGTCAAAGAGGTGAACTGTGAACGGGGCAAGAAAGGGTGAGCTGTCGATGGGGGTGCAGAGATAAGCAAAGAGGTGTGCAGGTGAGCAATAGATGATTACTTTGGGATGGGATATTTGAGTACTGCCCCTTGTGCTGATTTTATGCTGTGCCTTGTGTGATACAAACACCTCAGCACTGCACAGTACACACTCTTGAGCCCAATGTGTTATACAATACTGAGTGCGGTAATCTGTAGCTCTTGTGCAATGCACAGTTTTTTTCGGTGCTGCTCTAGATCTCTCCGCAAGGAATTCCATGGTTGTGGGTACGGAGTTGGCCAGGGAGGGTGAGTTCCTGCACCTGTTCTGAGAAAAAAAAGCCATGGCTACAAGTCATAATCCTAACTTGCCACCCTCTCTGTCTTCCCCTCACCTCCTGGCTGCAGAAAGGACCAATTAGAGAGACCAGTGGTAATGATGTACAGTAGCCTATAGCAACCAATTAGTAAGCAGTAATGAGGCACAGTAACGAGGCACAGTAACCTATAGCAACCAATCAGTGAGCGGCAATGATGTACAGTAACCTCTGGCAACCAGAGAGCCTTGACCAATCAGGGAGTGTGGACCAGTTTTTTATGTTTACGTTATTAAACTTTTTTGAGATGTCTATGGGTTTGTTTGTTTTTTGGGATGTTGAGGTGGAGATCAAAATTGAATGGCGAAGGGGAGCCCAAGAAAATGTTTGCCCATGGTCCAATCTGTCAAGGAGCTAGACACACAAGGAGGTGCACTTAAAGGTAGGTTTATTAATATAAAAATAAGACAAGAGTCTATGCAAGTCCAACAGCGGAAATCGTAGCCAAAGCCGGGGTCAAGAGCCAGGAAGAATCGTCGCCAGAGCCGGGATCAGGAGCCAGGAAGAATGATCGCCAGAGCCGGGGTCAGAAGCCAGGAAGAGTCTTAGCCAAAGCCAAGTCGGAATCCAGGAAAGCAATGAGTAGCTAAACAGGAGCTTGCTGTTGTGCAACAGACAGGACACGAATGCAATGGACAGCCACAAACAGCAGACTTATATGTGATAAGCCGCCACCTCCTGGGGGGGAGGAGCCACAGAGGGCTGAAAGCATAAAGGATCCCACAATGCTTTGCAGACACCTAAGATGGATGCCAGCACATGGAGCAGCACAAGGTCTGAGGAAAGGTAGGACCTTGACACAATCAATATTAAAGATGGCACTTTACACACTATATTGTCAAAAGTATTGGGACACCCCTCCAAACCATTGGATTCAGGTGTTCCAATCACCTCCATGGCCACAGGTGTATAACATCAAGCACATAGGCATGCAGATTGCTTTTACAAACATTTGGAAAGAATGGGTTGCTCTCAGGAGCTTAGTGAATTCAAGCGTGGTACCGAGATAGCTTGCCACCTGTGCAATAAGTCCATCCGTGAAATTTCCTTGCTACTAAATATTCCACGGTCAACTGTTAGTGGTAGTATAACAAAGTGGAAGTAACTGGGAACAGCAACTCAGCCACGAAGTGGTAGGCTACGTAAAATGACAGAGTAGGGCTAGAGCATGCTGAAACGCACAGTGCACAGAATTTGACAACTGTGTGAAGAGTCAATAGCTACCAACCTCCAAACTTCATGTGGCCTTCAAATTAGCACAACAGTGTGTAGAGAGCTTAATGGTATGGGCTTCCATGGCCGAGCAGCTGCATACAAGTCTTACATCACCAAGTGCAATGCAAAGCTTCGGATGCAGTGGTATAAAGAAAGCCACCACTGGATGTGGAGAATCACACTTCTCTGTCTGGCAATCCAATGGACATGTCTGGGCTTGGCAATTGCCAGGAAACCGGTACTTGCCTTGACTGCATTGTGCTAAGTGTGATGTTTGGGGGGGGGGGGAGGGAACTCTTAAGGCGTCAGCATACCAAGACATTTGGGACAATTTCATGCTCTCAACTCTGTGGGAACAGTTTGGGGATGGCCTCTTTATTTTTCAACATGGTTGGGCACCAGTGCACAAAGCAAGGTCCATAAAGACATTGATGAGCAAATTTGGGGTGGAGGAACTTAACTGGCTTGCACAGAGTCCTGACCTTTAAATTGATAGAACACTTTTGGGATGAGTTAGAGCGGAGACTGCAAGCTAGTCCTTCTCATCTGACATCAGTGCCTGACCTCACAAATGTGCTTCTGGAAGAATGGTCAAACATGTTCAAACATTCCCACAGACACATTCCTAAACATTGTGGACAGCCTTCCCAGAAGAGTTGAAGCGGTTATAGCTGCAAAGGGTGGTGCAACTCAATATTGAACCCTACAGACTAAGACTGGGATGCCATTAAAGTTCATGTGCGTGTAAAGGCAGGTGTCTCAATACTTTTGGCAATATAGTGTGTGTAATTCATATACAGTTTGACTGTTTCACTGTATCCTAAAGGGTATTGGACACTAGCAAACAGAAAAATCATAAACCATCTCCCATTATAACTCCACTACCCAGCATGGTCCAGTTTTTGTTAGCTTTTCTAGGGGGATGGACTTTTTGGACATGCAGGTCTAGCCTGGAATGTGACCTTTGGGCACTTGAATCGGCACGGTGGTACTTTCCAGACCTACGTTTACTGTTAAAAAAGTTAGTCACAAAGTGCTTTCCAAATCCAGAGCCATGACACAGCCCCAAACCATGACCCTGTCACTAAATAATCAGTTTGTGAGTTTTACCACGGTAAAGGTTGATACTGAGTGTCTGAACACACAGATGCCATCTGTTGGACAGAGTGCCACACATGTGAGCTTTGCACTCTTCCCAATATTCATCTCCTCAGGATGGCTTCACCTTTCCTATAACTTTCTATCTTTCTGCAGCCCCCTTCACCCCTGTGGTGTTGGGTTTGGGTTCTGAGCAAGGCTGTAGGCCTGTCTCTGTTAATCAAGTAGTCCCTACCATAATCAGCTCGCAGTTGTGATGCAGTCCCGCAGTGCAAAATCAGCAAATTAATTCACCAAAGATATTACCTTAAATTGCTAAACATGCTAATCTTCTCTCCAGGAATCAGGGATGTAAGTTACAACCACACAAAGTGGTTCCTGATCTCTTAGTACTTGAGGCTGCTAGGAGCAGACTGGAGCTGCAGGTCCAACAATCCCCTACTGAAATGCCCAACTGCTGTACAGTAAAATATCAATAAATATTCATCTGGCATGAAGGATTTGTTTGCAGAATATTATTATACAGTCAGGTCCATAAATATTGGGACATGGACACAATTCTAACATTTTTGGCTCTATACACCACCACAATGGATTTGAAATGAAACAAACAAGATGTGCTTTAACTGCAGACTGTCAGCTTTAATTTGAGGATATTTACATCCAAATCAGGTGAACGGTGTAGGAATTACAACAGTTTGCATATGTGCCTCCCACTTGGTAAGGGACCAAAAGTAATGGGACAATTGGCTTCTCAGCTGTTCTATGGCCAGGTGTGTGTTATTTCCCTCATTATCCCAATTACAATGAGCAGATAAAAGGTCCAGAGTTCATTTCAAGTGTGCTATTTGCATTTGGAATCTGTTGCTGTCAATTCTCAAGATGAGATCCAAAGAGCTCTCACTATCAGTGAAGCAAGCCATCATTAGGCTGAAAAAAAAAACAAACCCATCAGAGAGATAGCAAAAACATTAGGTGTGGCCAAAACAACTGTTTGGAACATTCCTAAAAAGAAGGAACACACCGGTGAGCTCAGCAACACCAAAAGACCCAGAAGACCACAGAAAACAACTGTGGTGGATGAGCGAAGAATTCTTTCCCTGGTGAAGAAAACACCCTTCACAACAGTTGGCCAGATCAAGAACACTCTCCAGGAGGTAGGTGTATGTGTGTCAAAGTCAACAATCAAGAGAAGACTTCACCAGAGTGAATACAGAGGGTTCACCACAAGATGTAAACCATTGGTGAGCCTCAAAAACAGGAAGGCCAGATTAGAGTTTAGATTAGAGCCAAACTACATCTAAAAAAGCCTTCACAGTTCTGGAACAACATCCTATGGATAGATGAGACCAAGATCAACTTGTACCAGAGTGATGGGAAGAGAAGAGTATGGAGAAGGAAAGGAACTGCTCATGATCCTAAGCATACCACCTCATCAGTGAAGCATGGTGGTGGTAGTGTCATGGCGTGGGCATGTATGGCTGCCAGTGGAACTGGTTCTCTTGTATTTATTGATGATGTGACTGCTGACAAAAGCAGCAGGATGAATTCTGAAGTGTTTCGGACAATATTATCTGCTCATATTCAGCCAAATGCTTCAGAACTCATTGGACGCCGCTTCACAGTGCAGATGGACAATGACCCAAAGCAGACTGCAAAAGCAACGAAAAAGTTTTTTAAGGGAAAGAAGTGGAATGTTATGCAATGGCCAAGTCAATCACCTGACCTGAATCCGATTGAGCATGCATTTCACTTGCTGAAGACAAAACTGAAGGGAAAATGCCCCAAGAACAAGCGGGAACTGAAGACAGTTGCAGTAGAGGCCTGACAGAGCATCACCAGGGATGAAACCCAGCGTCTGGTGATGTCTATGCGTTCCAGACTTCAGGCTGTAATTGACTTAAAGGATTTGCAACCAAGTATTAAAAAGTGAAAGTTTGATTTATGATTATTATTCTGTCCCATTACTTTTGGTCCCTTAAAAAGTGGGAGGCACATATGCAAACTGTTGTAATTCCTACACCGTTCACCTGATTTGGATGTAAATACTCTCAAATTAAAGCTGACAGTCTGCAGTTAAAGCACATCTTGTTTGTTTCATTTCAAATCCATTGTGGTGGTGTATAGAGCCAAAAATGTTAGAATTGTGTCCATGTCCCAATATTTATGGACCTGACTGTAAATGTCGATCAGGAATGGGTGATAGATAGATAGAATTTTAATTATGAATACCACTACCCTTGTCTCTAATAACTGAAGGAATACAACACAGAAAGCAAACTGAGAATACAAAACAAGATGTAAAAACTTTTGGCCTGATATATTTTCTAAATCTAACACAATAATGCATACACTGTACAAAAAACAGGTCCTCTGAAACACCTGGCTTTCAAAATGTTTCTGTAAAGAGAACCTGAATAGATTCCATTAGTGGTACAACAAAGCAGATAGTACAAATGCTATAGCCACACTATTTTCATATAGAATGTTCACATAGTGCTCAACAAAACCCATAAAGAGACAGAGATTGAGTTGTCATCTACAAAGTAATAATTTTCTTTGAAATGCATAACATCTACATATAACTATGTGACACTTTCCATTTGCATTTGACTTATTCCATAAAAAACACTGATCGCAGAGTATAATTTTCATTTCTTCACCACTCCGGCAGTACTTTTATATAGAAACTCATTTTAACTGTATAAAGAAAATATACATCAGAAAAACACCTTGACTTTTGTCATCTAAATTTTCCCAGAAATTGCCAAGATTCTCTTAGCCAACAAAGCAACAAGGATTTAAATCTCTTTGATTAAAAAAAAAACAAAAAAAACAAGAAAGGGAGAGAAAAGAGAAAAGCAAAATAGAATCATTAGTGAGAAATAAAAACACAATTAAAAGAGAGAGCAAAACAAAAAGGGAGAGAAGTCTAAGAAAAAGAAATCCATGTGGTTTGCACTCAGCAATTCAAGCAATAACAATTAATTCAAAGTGATGTATTGCATAACAGGAGAATGATGATTCTGTAAAGATTATAGCAGCATTTTTAATTTTGGCACTAGGAGTCCAGCACTGTTAGTTTTTGAACCAAGGCTCTTTGTACAGAATACAAGTCAAAGCCCTTTTCCCAACCTGAAGCATTCCTCCCAAAATAATGCCTTAAAGGACCACTGTTGCAAAAATATTGTATTTTGGTAATTGTACATGGTCATTACCTGTAATGATAGTATTCAGAAATTTCCTTTTTAGTTCATATACAAAATTATTTACATTTTTCTCTATATTCATGCAGACCAAATTGTCTAAACAGTTTTTCTTTTCCTTCCAGTTATCTCTTTTAGGCCCTTTTCACACTGGAATTAAAAGCAGTAGTTTGAGGCGTGTCCTCAAACTCCTAGTAAAACAGACTGCAATAGATAATATGGACAGCACACAGTGCTAGTCACATTATCATAACATGAAGTGTTTGCAATGCATTCCGTTGCTGTGCTTCAAAAATGAACCTTCAGGTGGAGTATAGGAGTTAAAGCATCTCAACTCCCTCCATTCAATTCTACAGTAATGAACAATAAATGACACATTTTCAGCACATTAGGCCTTATTCACAGCAGCGCAAAAAAAAAAAAAGGGTATTAAAAAACCCCACAATAGTTATGAACATAGTATACAGAGGAGCCACGTATATTTGCAAATGTGTGCAACAAAACCCTCTGTTTTAATGTAAAATGTTAAACAGAGTCCACGTAGTTTGTTTGCAGGCTAGTTGGTACTAGGTGTAATCCTAGACTCTCATCTGTCCTCCCAGCCCCAGATCCAATCGCTGACAAAATCATGTAGACTACACCTCCGCAACATCTCCAAGATACGACCGTTCCTTACCCCGGAAACCACTAAGCTACTTATTCACTCCCTTGTCATATCACGTCTCGACTATTGTAACTCCCTCCTCATTGGCCTACCTCATCGCAGGCTATCCCCCCTTCAGTCTATCAAGAACGCTGCTGCCAGACTCATCCACCTTACTAACTGTTCTTTATCTGCCAC